AATGGCCAAGACCTCAGATTCGGGAAAAACAATTTTCCAGGCAATTTTGATTTAGTCTGGAAGTTAAAAGGTATTTAGCTCCTAATTGTTTTAAATTAGAAAATAAGCCAAGTAGTGATCTAATCAATATCATAATCCTTTTTGAAATGGTAATAGGCGCTTTGCCTTGCCAACTCTCATGTCTTCACACAATGCATAAAACTTCTTCTTTCTCCTGTTCAAAAAGTTCTCTCCTGGATTTCTTCATGTATTTCATATGCACAAGCTAATACTGTATCAGAGACAGATTTCCTGGAGTTAGAATATAAAATGAATTATTCACTAATTCAAAAAAATTTGCAGTGTCCTCTTCTTCTGGTATAAGATAGCAGATACCTTGTGCAATATGGTTTGAAAATAACTGTGCAGCTAAATGCATACGCTGACATTCATTTCCTTTAACAGCAATGTGACTTACAGACAACATTGGGCAAATTTTCACTTCTTTGCAATCTATTGACATCAATCTTTCGATAGGTTCTTTAGTAATTCATTTATTTCCTGGAAGCATTAATCCATCATCCAAAAAGTGATTACGAAGAAGTTTCAAAAGGTGTGGCACATCAGCAAACACCCACACACACGTTTACTAGAGTCATGAGGATGTGTAAAACAGCTGTTAAGATGAGTAATCTGAAGTTTTGTCCACACAGCACGATTTCTACCACCCAAGTCAGCTACAGCTGCAACAACATAATATCCAATTTCTGCTAATGTTATTATTATATCTTTCAATATTTCTGCCGTCATTTGCGTATCAAAGTCGAAATATATTGGCTGCTTCCAGCTTGCAAGAAGTCCTCGCACCATTACTACTTGAACATTTCTATGTGGGCCAACAATCTTATCTTCTGCTTGGTCATAACAGATTCTACTATCCACGTTCATTTCATCGAATGAAAGAACACACATACATTCTTGGTCTGTCATCTGTAATGCCCCAGCACGCATAACATGAATTACATCGTGTAGCAAACCAGGAGAACAGCGAAATGAACAAAATACCCATCTCTTCAAAGTTGAAATGCTAGGAAATGGAAATCCCAATTTTTGTCTGAGATAGTTACAGCATCTTTTGGATACTGCCCTAAGTGTTGCAGATTTGCAAATGTCATCTGCATTCCACTTAACATATTTTTTATTTGACATGAGAAAGCGAATTTGATTGTCCGTAAAAATTGTCCCTAAATTTTTTTTAACTGCACTATGTACTGTTTGCTTGTTACTTTCCTGCTCATTTTCTGATAGCTACGCAATTTTCTACGAGAAGCAGCAAGTTCAGTAAAAAAAAAATAATTTTCTTTTGCATTTTTAACATTGACAGCACAACATATTTAATCTCTTATTTTCCTTTTCTAAGATTTGCACACGCTCAACTAAATGAGATGTGTCACTGGGTGTAAACTGAGTTGCACAGTCTATCTTATCAGCTTGTAGCTTTTTCTTTTGGGGGGAAAGGGAAGCTAAATTTTCCAATGCTCGTTTCCTTGTTCCCCGAGCCTGACACCTGCTTGCTCTATCCCTTTTTAACATAAATTTAGATGACTCATTCATGTTAGAAAACGTTCTCTCTACATTAGGTTCAGTTTTTGAAGCACAACATATATACTTTATTGATGAGTTATTTTCACATGATGATGATGGAAGATGTAAAGTGGGAACAGCATTGGCTTTCAGCACCCTTTTAGGAGTTGAACCAAGCAATTCTGCCTTTAGATCTCGTACGTAGTCATCAGGTGTAAAATGAAGAGCACATATTCTGGCATTTTCGATGTTGAAATTATCTGCTCTTTTGCAGCGATTAGTCCATAACTTACGAAGTTCTGGATCACTTGGAAAACGATGGTATGTGATGCCTTGACTTTTAGTTTTCCTTCTATAATTCTGAAACAACGCTATAGCACAACTTGCCATTTCCGACTACGTATAAAAGCAAAATTAACAACACAAATCAAATGTATCCCAGATCAAATGCAACGAATGTAAACAAACGCCGAGCGACTGTCACCCACATGACGTCATGCGCAGGTGGCATAATTTTCTCCCTGCACTACGCATCGCTCGTGGGCCCCCCCCCCTGAGCCTCCCCGAACTGGGCATGCAGTCTAGGTAAATTTCGGCTGGTTTCACATTTTCACGAATGAAGAACTTTATACAGTAGACGCTCGTTTTTACGAACTCGTAGGGACTACGAAAACAGTTCGTTAAATCGAGAGTTCGTAATTTAGAAAAGCATCGGAAATTGTTAGTATTTCACATTTTAATGTTTTCGAGACAGGTTAGGGATACTATTCCATGCTTTTATTTATGTATTAGGAATTATTTTTAATAGTATTACTACTTAATAAATGACATCCATTCTATTAAACAAAAAACAAGAAATATAAAATATTTGTAAAACGTACCTTTATTAAGTCATTGAGCAGCAAAAATAATCACTTATCTTTGTCTGTTTTAAAACAACAATTGTACAATGCAAGACTCCATCTTTTCTATATTTGTTAGCATTTCACAATTATCACTGGCCTCAAAAATCGTCTAAGTTCTGACAAGTATTCAGTAGCTTGTTTTAAAGTCGGTCTTGGTGTTACTTCATTTTCTTCTTCTTCTTCTGGAATCTGAAGTCTCTCATTCTCGTTGATTATGCTGCTAATAATATCGTGATCCGATATTTCCTCCGTTGCAGATGACATTAGAATCCACATTTAAAAAATCCTCGAATGAAAGTTCTGGCAACTGTGGATTTCTACGGCGAAGTTCATGCATGAGAACCTCATCTTCGTCGTGAGATCTATTGTCATGGGATTTCTTCAGTTACGTCTGTTTCTTTAATAAAACCTGCATGTCGAAGGCTTTAGAAATTGTTTCATCTAAAAACATCATTCCATGCACTGATTGATAAATGCATTGCACCAAGAATATCAATCTGATAAGGTTGTTCCCTTTCCAAGCCAAGGATTACTCTTTGCAAGAGCACTGTCTTATATTTCTCGCTTGAAAACTATTGATTATCCCCTGATCCATTGGCTGTAAAACTGCAGTTGCATTTGGTGGGAGATATTCCACACGGATTGCCTGAAGCCCAGTGACTTCCATGTGTGCAGTACAATTGTCCACGATTAGGAGAACTTTGCGCTTCTCCGCTGAAAAACGGTTATCTATATCTCTCAACCATTTTCGTAGATGTTGCCAGTCATCCAGGCCTTATTATTAGCATAATATGCAGCAGGAATCTTCTGAACATTTTTGAAACACCTTGGTTTCAGATATTTTCCATAAAGAGCAGAGGGCAATTTTTGTGACCCAGTCATGTTGGGCTTCAATCAAAACTGCAAGTCTCTCTTTAACTTTATTACCTCCAACACATTTATCTCCGTTGTAAGCTAATGTTCTTTCTGGCAAAATCTTAAAAAAAACAAAGCCGTTTCGTCTGCATTAAAAAAAAACGTCATCTGCAGCGTATTCAGAAAGAAGCAATTTTAACTTTTCTTCTTTCCATTCATTGCTGATGACGTGCTACTGCTGCACTTTCACCACACACTTTCCGGAAACTCAAACCATTCCGAAATTTAAATTTCTGTAACCCAACCATCCGATGCTTTAAAATCTTTGATGTTTAATTTGGAAGCAAAAAAGTGTGCTTGTTCTTTACGTACATTTCCATCAATTGGAATGTTTAAGCTTCTCATCTTTCGAAAACCAAACAAGCAAAGCCCTTTCCAAATTTGGGTGTTTGATTCTCGAAAATATTTTCGAGAGGAGGGTCCACATTCATCGTTTCCGTTTTTAGCTCCAAAGATCTTCTCTCTTGCCTTTAAAATTGTCGATAAAAAAAAATATTTTAGGAATTCCATATTTCTGAGCAATTTGTATCTTGCTTAATATTTTTTTCGTCAATTTCTTTTAAAATTTCTTCTTTATTTCAACCGCTAAACAAATTCGTTTCTTCATTGCGACAGAGCTCTAAGAATCTTACTTAACAAAAAAACTGGCCCAATCTTCTCCCTCTCGCTACTAACGAGACTTCACTGATTGAGTTGTCCAGATCAAATGACTATGACATTACAAAAAAGCAAAAACAACTCTCTTTTAGAAGCACCCCAAACCCCTTTAAAACACGAATGGTCTCACCCCCACCAAAACAAACAACAGGCTGATGCCCTTCTGAGAGCCTCCCACAACAAACAACACCATAAATTTGTCCTAATTCCCCCTCTTCTCCGCCCCCTCCTTCCTTACTGTACTTCTTCGAATGTTTCGCACTTGCTGCCTCAAAATAGTTGGAGATTTTATTTGACCTTCACACTTTCGTCCCAATGAAACACGCAGAAGTATGAAAAACTGAGTTCGCAAAAAAGAGATTTTCCTGATTTGTAGTTTGTAAATAAGAGCGCAAAATTACATTACATCTATGGCAGTGTATTCGGGACCATTCGCTAGTTCGTCAAATCGAGAGTGTTCGTAAAAAAGAGGTTCGTAAAAACGAACGTCTACTGTAATTATGCTTTTCTCAAGAGAAATGGGCGGGTACACTCCTCTCACTCATTTTAAGAGGTACTAAATAAAAAACGGGACAAGCCGGATGGTGTGGTTCCCTTACTCTTGACAAACCCACTTAATGACTTTAGACACCCAGACTTAATGACTCAGACAAGTATCCATCTCGAAGCTCAGGCAATAAAGGCTCTTTTACGTGTGATCGTCCCATGCATTTTCTTGTAATTTAACGTAGCTTACTAGATTTCATTTTAAAAAACTCGCAGGTTTCTGTATGAAAGAACACATTGCAGAATAAATTCTAAAACTAATTTTAACTCAGAACTAACAGCGGTTGCTTTAGTGCTTAAAACAGCTTGGTTGACAGCATGTTAACTATAACATATATTAATACAGTTTTTCAGTATATAAATCATTCATCTACATAATGTGTCTTTTTAATATAAAAGTTTTTGAATTTTTAGATGACTTAGATCAATCCATCTGCTCGTTTCTGACATGTGACAAATACTGGGACGACTTCGATTCTCAAGTAAGTACTTTTCAACAATTACATTAAATTCATAAAAGGCAGCAATTGCTTATCAGTTAAAACATTTTTTCTTTTTCATTTTTCCTGTTCCAATTTTATCCGATCCTATAAACATGCCCAAAATATACCTATAACTAAAAAATTTCACGATTCACGTCAACAACTATTTAAATAATATTGATACGAATTTTGTACATATGTGACTAATTATAGTGAAATTATATGTGAAATCGTAGTTATATGAGAATCTAAAGAGACTAAGCTTTGCAGCAAAAGTAAGAATACAGGGGCAAATCTGTTTAACAATGAATAAATGACTGTATTCCTAAATTGGCGAGATATCCTCAAATGGTGACGGCTCTGGCGACTAATTTTTGTCGCCAAATTTAGCGAGAAATCTCGAAAAGTTCCTAAACTTGCTTACCACTTAGCGACATTTCAGTCTGGTCCATGGAAAACTGTGATTGAATGAATGAAATTAATCTAGATGTTGCACTCTAACCGTATCCGGCTAATGTAACTTTAACCGTATATGCCTTCTACTAATTTCGAGAAATGTAATTTATTAGGGATTTCTCAGGGCCGGCTGTATATAAGACCGAGGAGAGAGCATCTGCTCTCAGTCGTCAGTTCAAAGCTGAATTCGGAGTACTGAAATAACTGTGAGGGCTTCACCTGTTAGATGCGTTTTGCATTGCATTGTCTTTAACGTTCTTAGTAGTTTGAATAAGTGTAACTACTGATTATGCTATGTAATATTAAGAAAAGCTGTACGAGTATTTTGGGTTTCCAGAACTGTAAAGTGTTTCTTTTGGTAAAATAAACTTTATCAAGCTATCATCGGTTCTGCATGCAATTAAACCATTATGAACTCGTACGCACGCAAAAATATGCAGTTAAATTATACAACATGGGAAATTTTGACTTTGATCACAGGAATGAAGCTGTAGCTGTTAATTTGGTTAGAACAAATCCCGCAAGCCCCCATCTCTGTTTATGTACTATGTTTGACTTTACAGTTTTGGCATTTAACCTATCAAACACGATCAGAAATAATTATTGCTGCTTTGACACACTAGTTTCCAAAACGTTAGGAAAAGTCCAAAAAATAGCGATAACTCGTCCAAAAATAAGCCAATTCGTATAAAATTTGAATATGTTATCAAATAAGAGTTGCTGAGTAAAACTGCAGTATGCTAACTAGTGACGCTGCAGTCGGAATGCGTCATCTGCAAGAAGCATAAAACTGCATATTTTTGAGAAAGCCCGTAAATTTCGCTGTGATACTAAGAAATCTGGGATAGATAATTGACAGCAATGACTTCCAAGCATCATTTTCCTGAAGAACTGCGATGAAAAGCTATTGGGAGACTAGAGGCAGGACATAGTCAAACAGAAGTAGCCAGATGGTTAAATGCGAATTCTTCTGAGGTTCAGAGACTTTAGCAACAATTTCTAACCAGAGATTCGGCATCCAGGAGATTCAGCCAAGGATAGCCAACCGCTACGACGAGCACCGATGACCGATATTTGTTGTAATGCGCACGAAGGTGTGGGGTTCCACCCTTTTATCTAACAGCTAAATGTGTAGGAACCTCGTGAACAGATAAGCGAATAATTGCAATAGTCCAGGAACAGAGTCGTAAACTCCAGAAGGGTTATTTATACCCTTTATTTCTCAAAATAAGAATTGAACAGTTGGCTCCTTTCTCGAACTTACAGTAAAGTCTTCACTTGGGCGTGAACTCTAATAAGAAACAAAACTTAACTAATGCTTAACTAAAACGAGATAGCCGAAGCTATCAAAAGTATAAGTAGTTGGCCACTAAATGTCAAATAAGCTAGTCCTCTCAAGGCCGGAAATATGGCCGAGCGTAGTACAGCTTAGACGTAGCCAAAAGGCAAACGCGCGCTAGTCAGAAACCCTGAGGCTCTCTCGCGAAGTCAGTGGAATTTCGATTTAAATACCACTCATTTGCATTAACCGCGATTCTAAAACCACATTCTGGTAGGATATTGTAAGCTGAAATTGGGAAGGATAGGAAAGTAAGCTTTAACTAAAGATAACTGTTAAAATCTTAGGATAAACCTTACAAAGGAATAGAACCGCATCTCCGACTGAGATCCTTCCTTGCTGCAGCCACCAGAAGATTGATGTCAACTTCAACTGTGTGTAGAATGTTTCACGAAGCACGTCTGTATGCGAGACGACCAGCCATTTGTGTGCAGCTCAAGTCACAACATAGAAGGAAAGGTTTGAGGTGGACATATCAACATGTCCACTGGGCGGCTGATCAATGGAGGGCTGAGTTTTTTCATGTTCTCTCCTAACAGATGAGTCTAGATTTAGTCTCCAAAGCCATAGTTGACGTTATTTGATTTGGAGAGAGCCTGGATCGTCCATCAAACTGTTACCGTCCGTCAAACATCCGCGAAAGTGATGCATACGGAGGAGACAGTGTCTGTGTTTGGGGTGGTATCTTTTTGAGTGGACTCACAGACCATCCATATACTTCCACGTTGAAACAGGAATACTCAGGAATATAGAGATGATATCCGCCGCCCAGACGGTATAGCGGTTAGGGAAGCCTGACTGCGATATCGAAGAGCCTGGGTTCGAATCCCGGAGAAGGCATGTAACTGTCCGTCCCTTCATAAGAGGTGATGGTGGCCCACCTATTAGATGCCTCCACAATAAAGAGACTAACACATCTGGCCTTGTATAAATTAATGGACTGGGTTACACTAACTGTTCACCATCCGCCATTTAAAAAAAGTAGAGATGATATCCTTGATACTTATGTGCACCCTTATGCCGGAGCAATAGCTAATGATTTCCGGCTTCAGGACAATAACACTAGACTGCACAGGTCTAGCGACATCATCGTGGATGATGATCTTTATCAGCAAACAATTCAGCCCATGGAGTGACTCGATCACCGGACCTGAATCCTATCGAGCATGTCTGGGATGCTTTAGTATAGCTGCTCTCAGTCCTCCTCTTCAGACCATTGCCAGGCTTGCAACTGCTTTAAAAGAGTAATGGCTCTCACTTCGTACGGAACTAATAGACTGCATAATTGACAGCATCGCACATAGCTATATGTGTTGTATTGCTCCTAGGGAAGATTGTACTCCATATTGAAGGTAATTTTCCTATACCAAACTGACCCATCCGATTTGTTGATTTTATATACATACTAATGTCTATAATACCCTGATTGTCTGGTAATTTCTTTTCATGTTATATTATACCTTGCTATGTGTTGTATATTGCGGGTCAATTTCATTAAATTCTACATGTAACGGTTTGAGTAATGATCCTTTTTGTGATTTTTCCTTAAATAATGATAACCTTTATATATATATATACTTGTGTGTGTGTTTGCATAAAATATAAAAATATCAAATAAAGTTATTTAACTTATTGGAACCAGTTGGCAACAGAATTTCAAATTCATAAATTTTAATTAAACTCCTCCCCGCTTCAAAAATACGCTTCGCATCGTTTTTCATCACTGCATCATGTTATGTCACTCTCTACCTGCAATATATGCATTGCTGTAAACTTTTGTCCAATCGCTGCTCAGATTAACACAAAGACTTTCCGGCTATTAAAACGACCACAGTGAGTACGCCTTGTTTTTCCTTGCTTGCTTCTCTTGAATAAACCACTTCCATTTCACATTCTTTCTTTATTATCTGAAATGTAAACTGTGTATATGGAAATTGCGGGGTGCGTTTAGCATCTCTAAGTGTTGTACCAATTTAAGCAAAAATGTTATTTCTGAATAATTGTTCCTGCATAAAATAAAAATGATATTTTAACCATCAAGCTAATTCTGATTTTCGTACCAATTGACATCTAAACAGTCTTCTTTGCCATTAATAAAGACTGAATTGGTTATATATGTATGTCTGTATGTATATACATACGAATATTGATCTAACATGCAAGTTCATCAGTTCATTATGGCCCACCAGCAGCCGAGCAGTAAAGACGCTGGTCCAAGGTTCAAATCCCGTGAACGGGGCCAGATTCCCTTAGAAAGTCCTCCACGAAGGCATCCCTCCCTTTAGGCAGATAGCCCTCGTGTGCTTTGCCATAAATGAATAATCCAATCCAATCCATCAGTTCGTTAAATCAAGATTAGTTTAATTAAATTTTACATGTAATTTTTTCAGTAATCTTCATTTTTGTGATTTTTCCTTAATTAATGATAACCAGTGCATTTTCACTGATACTTTACCTCATGAAATATGATATTGTGTATTGGATAAATACTTTTGTCAAACTAAAAAGCAGTTGCAATTTTCATAAAGAAGCTGATATGAAATCACGCGTATAAATAAGTACTTGTGCGCAAAGGTGAACTAAATTTTCAAAACCAAAATTTATATCTTAAAAACTGTGTATTGTGTTTTGAAAACAAAAAAATTCCTGAGCGGTAATATTGTCATTAAACAATTACCTTGACCAAAATAGAAAAGGAACATGCCACAGTGAAACATAAAATTAGCAAAGCAAAACCCTTGTGTTTGGTGTAGATTTAGTCAAGAAATCAATCGATTTCGAGTGCAAAAAAGGTATAGGTCACTCTTCACCGGTCTTTCTTACTGCTTTTCAAATTCTATTAACATTATTTTTTCTATTTCGTTACTATTTTTGATGACAGATGGCGCTACCTTCTCGTTCGCCGTACTGCCGTAGACTATAAATACGCTTCCAGTCTGGTAGATTTCTTTGACTAAGCCAGATGGGTACAGGCCCATTAGCTTGCTTCCGGGACTAGGAAAGGTCTTTGAGAGATTAATCTACAGCAGATTGAAAACTATATTGAATTACTGCCTCCGGAACAATTTGGTTTCCGGAGAAAGCTTTCAACAACGAAGCAGCTGGTTCGGCTCGTCGAGTTTTGTGGGGATGCGCTTCACAAGAAACAAAATGTCGCCTTACTCATGCTAGACGTGGCGAAGGCATTCGACCGCGTCTGGCATGAGGGGCTTATTTATAAACTTATAAATCTCCCTATGGATAGAGAGCTGATTCAGCTAATTATGTCTTTCATCACTAATAGGAAATTCACTGTGGCTATTGGAAAGGACATCTCCAGTTTACGCACCATGAATGCAGGCGTCCACAAGGGGTCCATTTTAGGGCCCGTCCTGTATTTATTTTATGTTCATGACTTTCCTAGGGCTCACATTGGCAGAAATTACTTTCTTGGGTGCTATGCGGACGATAACGGCATTAGCCGTAAAGTCCGCAAAACGCACACACATGCAATCAAGAAATTACAGGAGCTTCTACCAGTGGTAGAAAAGTGGTGTAAGACTTGGAGAATTGCTATTAATGCCAGCAAATCGCAATTATTATTGATAAGAAGGAAAAATACACAGTTGACTATTAACAGTAAGCTCTTCTTATTCTCTGAAGAGATTCCTAGAGTTAGTAAGGCGAAATATTTAGGAGTAATGCTAAATGAAAGATTAAAATGGGGAGATCATATAACAGAGGTCAGAAGAAAAAATTTTCTCTGTTGTAAATAGTCTCATCCCTATATTGGGTAATTATTCTTAGCTTAGACCTCAGGAAAAAAGAGGCTAGTTTATATCACGGCAATTAGGCCATTGATGACTTATGCGTCGCCGGGCTGATGCACGGCTACCAAGGAGGATATAAAAGAGACTTCAAATCATGCAAAAAACAAAGTCTTAAGGCTTATCACCCATGCTCACGTTTTTGTGAGCAATGCTACACTACACTGTGACTTAAAAGCTGGACACTCTAGAAGAAGCACCTGAATAAGATCAACAGGAAATTCTTCACGAAAGCTCTTGAACTGTGACCATATGAGAAATTTTGATATCTTTACCTACGAAATATTGAATGAGGACGCCAAACTGCGCCCACTTGCGGCCCACCTTATCAGGGACCCGAACTTTCCCACCTAGTGCCCACCTGTAAATGATGTACCCAATGTGTTTATTAGCATTCTTAATTTTGTATTTTACTCATTTATTGTACTGTGTATTTCTTAAATTCTCTAGTTTTATTCACATTCTACACTCATTTTATGACTCCCACTTAGTCACGCCTTTACCAGACCGGTTACTTGCTTGTGAGCTCTTGCGTTGCTGGTCTTCCTATTCTTTATCCGTCTTTCTCCTCCTTACTGCGGACATTATGTGAAGATAGTTCTATGTTATTGTGCCCATCCGGCATGAATTTGATTGAGCCAGATAAACTACTGATCTCAATGGTATTCTGGCTATAAGTTATCAGTCAGTCAGTCAGTCAGATTTCTTTGCTCCTGATGAGATAGACCTGCATACCGTGCGTAAAAAATGGGACTGTTCTGTATCCGCCGTTCTACTAGGCCGACTGACGAAATTTAATTTTCATTTTTCATGTCTCGAAAGTGCTACTTAGGATATATACTGGATTTATATATAGAGTTGGTCTAACGTAGGTGTTTTGACACAAAATCGGACTTTTTCTGAAAAGATATATATATATATTTTTTCATGTTTTGATTCTATGACTAAACTTTTGCCCAAATATTAAATTTTGTAAAACTGGGTGAGAAACTTCCCCAGAAATTTGAAAATTTGTCTTGCGCATACTTTTGAGTTTGGCCAAGAATATTTATTTTATTTGACGGAATTCTTAATTTTTGATACTCTGTTTTCCTTTCCCTTGAAAATGAATGATGCACCTTTTTTTCCGTTCATGAACAGAAAAACAGGTGCATCGTTCATTTTTTCAAATAATTTTAAAAATCAGTAAACCACATTTGGTGTTGTTATCTCTTATAACAAATATGCCAAATCTCAAAACGTGCCTATATAAATTCACGTATAGCTAGAGAAATTTTGAATACTCTAATTTTTGGCAGAAAAAGAAGAGAATGCTTAGAAATACATTTACTTTAAGGTGATGGTAAAAATTTTATAGGTTAGAATAAAAATATTTTTCGGCAAACTTACAGAAATTACTAAAAAATACAAATTTTGAAAATATCTACAAATTTTATTTGGATTGAACTTAAATTTCAAACTGTAAAAGAAGGACTCAGGTAACTTTAATAAAAAAAAGATATATTAATAAATATATACCAAATTTTATTAATATGGAAAAGATAAAATTTTGAGAAATAATTTTTTGAAAACCTCTCGTGTGATTTTTATAAAATTTGGCACTTTGGCGTGATTTGAGTCGTATAATCGAAATATGGAAAAAAATCGGTATGTCTTTTTTTTTTAAAGTATGATTTTGCATCAGAATACCTATGTTAGAACAATACTGTATAAAAATCTAATAAGTATCCTAAGTCGCGCTTCCGAGACATGAAAAACGCAAGTTAAATTCCATCGATAGGCTCAACAGAACGGGAGATCTGTACCATTTTGAGTGTGTGTGTGTGCAGAGTGTACCCTTTTGTTCTCGAAATCGACTGAGTTCTGACTAAATGTAGAAGGTTATTGCTTTGCTAAACTATCTTGATGCTTTACAAGAAGGATTTTAAACATTATATATGTTGTACGCAGTTTTTGCATATTTTTTTTTAATTTTTTTTTTTTATTATTATTATTATTATTATTATTTATTTTCTAGATACATCAAGTTCCTACCCTGGTTCTTGCTATTTTTGGCTTGATAATAATAAGCTTGTTCTGTTTCTGTTACTACGGAACTTGGGTCTTGATGGAGTAAGGAAACCCTATTATATAAATATTTAAAAAAATCTTAGAATGTCCTTTGCATAGTTTAAAATGTTTAACAATATTTAATTGTGAATGTTTTCAAAATATGATATTTTTTCAAAATATGTTGCTTTATGTTATTTGCAGGAAAAATCCTATTAACACCAATCAATTGTGTTGCAACTGTCAGAGATCGCAGTCTATGGAATTTCGTCACAAACAGAAAGTGCGGCAATACAGATATAGACAAAATTCTCCGGAATTCCAAACAACTAGAAGAGCACCCAGCAGATGTGGCCGATGAATCAAGAGCTAGACTGTCATATGCAAAACATCATTCATGTTCACATTTATATCGATATCTTTTTTAATTGACACTAAAGTGAATATTTTTATCAATTACTCATTTTATTCCTCTTTTATATTCCTCCTTGAGTAATTTTAATTTACAAATTTCTGTTTATACATTTCAACATTTTAAAATGTCTATTATGTAGCAGTTTCAAAGGAAAATAACAAACTGGTAACAACATAAACTTTGGGGATGAGCAAGTTTAATCAAGGAACAGTAATATTTAAGGCACAGGATAATGACCTAAAAGTAGTTAAACAATTTTATAAATATTAGCGCGATGGCAAGAATGTGCAAAATACAGAATAATATAGTAAAATTTAAATGAACTGAAATTTTAAAGTTTATTAATCGGTTATTTATGCAAGTGCTAGAGAAGATTAATTAAAAGAATTATTTTGAATTTCTAAAATGCTTAAATAATATATATATGATGTAAATATTCTTATTAATACATCTGTTAAAAAGCGTTCAATAAATTTTAATCGCCATAAGAAAATGAGACGCCATTTAGAAATAAGTTTTCCTTACGTAGGATTTATTTTTAAGAATTTGTCAAACTTAAGCTCTACAGAAAAGTAATCTTTTTTTTTTTAAAAAAAAAAAAAAAAAAAAAAAAAAAACGTATTTGCCTCTGCCTAGTTAATTATCTTTAATAAATTTTCTTTCATAAAGTTAGCTTACATATTTGCTTCTAAGCAATATGCATTTCCTTTCAGTTTCTAAGCACAAAATGATAGTTCAGATGGCAAAACATCAAACAATAAGAATTATTTATTTAACTCCCCTTAAACTGTCATTTATGTCATCAAAAAAAATCAAGCTGAGATTTAATGATGTGATGTGATTAAACTGCACGATGAAGAATGGAAGCTTTGTAAATTTTAAAAAAGGTGTACTACTTTCTTTTGAAGCACAATCTTATTGACAATGCAACGATACAAATTCTGTGAATCTGTTTGAAGGCTGAACAACAACAACAGAAGAAAAAAATGTTTAGCGTTTTTTTTTTAAAAGTCTTAGCACATAAAAACACAAAAATGAAGCAATATTTGCATAAAACAATAAATCACAGGCCAACCTAATTCTTTATTCTTTTAACTTAACTTGTGATAATGCATCTTATATGGATGTTATAGTTAATTTATGCATAATACAGCCGTGAAGAAATTATTCTAACTATTCAAAAATATTTAAATAAAATATAAGCTTAGCATAAAGCATAGCAATAAAATATAAGCATAGCTTCAAAAAAAACCTTAGCAAGCTATGGCAAAAATATAATATCAATGAATTAGAAGAGAAGGAATTATAAGATTCTTTATAGCAGATATATTCTTTAAACATACAGCTTATTATGTGTTATGTACAAAAGATAGAGATGTTGGCTAATTTAAATAACTTCTTTACAATAAAATTATATTCGTTGATAGTTAAAAAATAATATTATTTCTCAAAATCTGTTCAACAGGAAAAATTAATAAGGAGTATTCGATATGTAAAATGATAAGCAAATTTAATGAAGTAGTAAAAAACAAAAATAAAAATAAAAACTAATGAACATTTCCTGCTTTAAATTATTAGTATTCTTTGATACATACCAAAGATAATGCTGATAATTTAATTCGTCGTTTAATTTAGAAATATATAATAATTTTTTAGCAAACACTCAAAACAAAATTCTTTAAATGATTTCGCTTTCAATTTCCTTCTGATACCAGCTTCATTTTTGGAATTAAAGCTAATAAGATATATTTAAAAGACAATTTATGTTCGTTTTTTTGCTACATATAACACTTCATATCTGCAAGAATCTGTAGTTAATATTTTGAATTAGGGCATGTAAACTGTCTTTGTACTGTTACAGCTGAAAAATTTAAATAATGCATTTCTTGTAAAATTAAAAAAAAATCTGCGTAAGATAATGATTAAGATTTAAGAGGAAAATTAATGCAACAGTCGGAACAGTTTGCAAACCTAAAAATGATAAATAAGGCTAATCTTTGGAACATGGTAACAGATAGTTTGGCAACATTTTGGTAAGGCGATAAAGGTTACTAGCTAGGACTTTAGCAGTGTACATGGATAAAGTCAAGAGTGTGCACAATGCCATTTTTGTGCAATTCTGGGATTGTTTTTTATAAGTGAAAATAGGTCCGACGTGTTACACGGATGACTACCGTGTATATGCAATTCTTAAAAACGCGGCAAGTAGTGGACGATTCTGCACTTTCTCCTAATTTCGCACCTAATCTTCGTCATGATTAAGCATGTTTGTTCCATAAAAGTTCTAGCATAAGTGTAATTAGGCTAGCAGATTGTTGGAAAAAAAATGTTGAGAGGAAAAAAAAAAAAAAAATGCTTTTACTTCGTGAAAACAAAATGGCGTCCAAAAAAAAAAAAACTAACAGGTTGCTGTAGCAGGGTTGGTCACCAAAAAGTCGCGAAGTTACCATAATCCAAAGATTAACCATAAATAATTATTGTGCACTTTGAAGTTTAATTTAATTGTTTTTCAATCTTTTTCCCCATGAAGTGCCGCCGCTTTTGTATTGTACAGATTATCAAATGCCACTTTTCTTACATTATTTTATGGCAATGCACATAATTCCTTTCTTGCACTTCTGCAACATCAGATACACATTAAGACCCCATTGCACACAACAGCCCGGTACTTCTCAATATTTACAAATGCAAATAACATACATATATATATAAATTCATTCCAGTGGAACAGAAGTACATTTTAATAGGCTATTTTAAAAAAAATTGTGTATTAAATAAAAAAGCGAAAGCACATGCATAGTAATGCAATTAACCAGACATATAAAAAATTACGGTACCCATGTTTATCAGCCAGTAAAATTAATTGGTAATTCACTAAAACCTTAAAATTTAAAACACAGAGGAATATTAAATAAAATTTTTGCATAAATATTCGAATTTAATTGAAGAAAATATTAAGAAAAATTACATTCTAGATTTGAAGCATCTTCACTTCAATATTTACAGCTAATTTAACATTTCAATCACAGTTCTCACAAATTTTAGAGACAATGTAAACAGAGAATGTAATATTTGATACAAATTACCATTTTATTAAATTTCTTCTCAGAAAAACTTTTAAAAATTTCATAAATATTATTAAGCTAAGCATAAGAATATCTTCAGGTTCAATACCAACGAAATTTTGTTCTAAAAGCAATTTAAACATTAAAAAAAATCGAGTAAAGTTATTCTGCAAGTGGAGAGTTTTTAATCCACAAAACATGAACATAGATATATTATAAACAGAATGAAATATTTTATAATATCCAATAGCATCATTTCTTTGTTTTAATTTTTTGAATTTTGTTTTTAGTATTTAGAAGATAGAATTTCCTAAATATAGATTTATATTGAGAAAAGAAAGTATAAAGCCAGGAAATAGGCAAGGTTTAACTGCTTTTCCCAACGGAGAAATTTTATACATACTCAAGATTCTACAAATATATTTTTTAATGTTCAAAACTTATTGGGCAATTCAAGTAAATACAAAAATATAATTTTGTACTCAAAAATCTAAAATGACGTTTCATTACAAGAGTATTTAAATTTATGACGCTCTTAAAGGATATTCAATGAGTCTCTAGAGTAAAGAATTGATATTATTTTAATTTTGATAAGTGAAAATAAAAATTGTCACAAACTCTATAAAATACTAGAACTATGAGATTTTAATCACACGGCTAAAATATTTTTGAGTAGAAATAATAGATGCCAATAATAATTCTTGGGATATCAACGAAATTAACCAGACATATAAAAAATTACGGTACCCATGTTTATCAGCCAGTAAAATTAATTGGTAATTCACTAAAACCTTAAAATTTAAAACACAGAGGAATATTAAATAAAATTGGCTTTCCACAGAGATATTTAAAATACAGAAATGTCAACGAGGTTCTGTAAAGTATAGAAATTAGAACAGGATTGTCTTTGTGGCATTTTAGCAAGAGATCTCAGGGTGATGTTTTAATAGGAATGCAGAGCATGCTTAACAGTTCTGATATTTTAAATATTCTTATGAATTTCTGCTTAAATTTCATATCCGGTTCTAATACATGCATTTAAAATACATTTTTTATTTTATAATAATTCAATCTGAAATACTTTTATGCAGTCACCATGCACTAACAGTACAAAAATTAAAACTATTAATAAAGAAACCTAAGATGCCAATCTACTTTTGTATCAAACATTTTCTAAGATGTTAACTTCGACCTGTTCTTCGATTAATTAAGTGCAAAACAATACATTCATATCATCTCAAAAGCTAGGTTCTCCTGCTTCAAGAGACTTTTAAAAGATTTTTTAAAAAGGTCTAGCTGGTTTTATAATAATTGATAAAATATCGGTTGCTCTTAATCTTAAACTCTCCGCTTTATAATTAGTTACCACCTAGTTTCAAAATGGTTTAATTAATGAAGAAAATATACGCTAATTTGGCGAAATACGTATTTTAAATAAATACAAGATCATTATTTTTTTTCTAATGGCAGATTGTGAAAAATTACAAATGTAACCCAATCCATTAACCTATACAAGGCCGGATGTGGTGGTGTCTTTATTATGGAGGCACCTAATACAAGAAGATCATTATACTTTTTACAATAAAAATTAGATAACTTTCTTTGACATATAAAAAATAAAATAAGAAATTCACAACATAAGTATAACAGAAATGTGATATTCCCATAGCAAATTAAGTAGGTACTTATCTTACTTGACGATAGGAATAAAAATTATATATTTTTGACTCATTTTTTTTCATTTCAGGTAACAAAAATATTAAATATATCTGAATCTCCATTATGTTATTGAGAATAATACTCCACGAAATTTTATGCTTTCAGATATCTAAATTAATAGGTAAATTACACTGCAAAGAAATTGATTGGTACAGTTTTTAACTCTCAATCAAAGCAATCCTTTGCCTAAATTGCAAATTAATAAACAGTAGCTTTTTGTTATCATTATCAAAATTATCTGATAGAAAATTAATCTTGCTTTGTACTGCACATTAATTTTCCAAACAGTATTTCAAAACTCTCCACTTTTACATTTGAAGAATGCTTATGCACATTATTGCATGTTTAAAGATAACCCTATATGAAAAAAAAAAAAAAAAAAAAAACCCTATAACAAACCAAATCGAAAGTTTGGCTTATTTGGCCTTCATACGTTCAAAACAAATTCATGTATTATTATAAAAAATTCATTTAACTCGAACAAACAAATTACGATACACCTAATTAAAACATTTACCTTATTACAATCATTATTATAATTGAAACTGCAATGCAGAAAAAAATTGTTTCTCTCTAAGATGAAAGTAACTAATAAATTTTGCAAGCAAAGGCAAGTAATTTATTTTAAACTGTGTCAACAAAATGTATTATATCATTAAGTTACAGAAGTGCACATTTTTTTCTTGTTTCATTTTGTAATCAAAAGAAAATTAGTTTCGATAAACAATTTATTGAAATGTATGTAAAATAAAATATAATTGCAAAGAAATATGATTGTGTGATATATATGATATATCAACTATTAATGGATGCAAAAGTTTTGAAAAGAAAGAGGATATTTAAATTTTTAAATAATTGACTACGACTTTAATTACAAATCAAGAACCAGTCATTATATATATTAACTATATAAAAAGAAGAAAAACTTAATGGCAAAATAATTTTTAAAAATTATAACACAAGAACAAATATGTTGTTAAATTAATACAAGTAAGATTTTTACACTTAAAAAACAAATTTACTTCAGTAAATATTATGAATTCGGTCAGAAAACTCAGGAATTAATCACGTGAGAGACCATTTAAAACCATGGCACTTCTAAGCCAATGATTTTAATTATAAAAATCATTTAAAACTACGCTGTTAACAATTATATAATAAACCTTTTGCATCTCATTATTTATTCACCTTTCATACCTTTGCTGTCTGCCGTCCAATGTTAAGAAACCCCTTTCGAAGATTTTGTGATCTCTGTTTCATAATTAAAATGTTTTGTTGCTTGGTTTACTTTTTCTTCCTTGTTTCTCTTAATTACATCTTTAAAGTATCTGATGTGGACACCACATGACTTCCTTCTACGGCCTATGAAATTATACACATTTTTTCCTGCATTTCGTTCCGTAACATATTTTCTCGGATTTCATTAGAGATATATTACTCATTCAATCAAGTCGGTTTTCAATTTGCTGCAAAGCAAAAATACATAAAAACTCAAAGCAGCTTCATTAAAAATTGTAAAATACAGAAAAACTTAAAATACCAAACATAGTTAAAAACACTTAAAACATAATTTTACAATTATATTTCTACACAAAAACAAGCAATTCGAACAGTGGGCAAGAAGACAAAATTTTCTGTGCACAAAACTGAAAGTTAACTTTTCTTCCACTATGTAAAAAGACACTGAAATTGTTGCACCAACTCAATTCATTTTTCTTACAAGAGTTAAAAAAAATCGTTCAAGTGGATTTGAGAGCGGTCAAAATGGATATTTTCGTTGAAATATGATAGCCGAAATTTTCCGTGATTACAACACTTCCTTTACTTCGCACAAGGAAGTAAAAAGAGTCACTTATTCTGTCCATACGTACAGTACATTAGGGAGAAGAGGCTCCCAGACCATAGGCTTGAGATGCCCATACACGTTTATAATGCCCCAACCCTTAGAGGCGATCCGAGGAGGCATGCTCTCCCAGTTCCAGGTTCCACTATACGCCGAGATTATTTTATATATTTGCACAACTTGTTCCGGCTCGCTGAGATGGTGTTCGAGAAGACGCATGACAATAAAGGCTAATGACTGATGTAGGCCAAAGGCAGGGAGATAAACGGAGGTAAAGAGAGGTGACCCCTTTCTTCGTAGCAGCGGTCAGCATCTTGAGTCAGTGGGTGCAAAAGCAGAGCAAGAAATTTGAACCATGAAGTTGTAGCTTCGACTGCACATATGCGTCTGCGCAAGCGCAGAATACGTTTTCGCGTGCGCGTTTAATGTATAACGGACGGTATAAGCTAAAATTATCTAATTATCTATTTCA